TTGTTTTAAACTTCCACTGAGTCACTGGTAAATAAAGAGAAAACCACAAACCAAACTGGACAATATGCTGCTTTTTCCTTACTTCTGTTACAAAGAACAGACTTTAACCTCTGACTTCATCAGCAAAGTCTCTGTCTGCCAATTTAATTCCTGCTAATCCGCTAATCTCCTCCTGATGTCATCACATCACTTCTCAGACTTCATTTTTTCAGTGGGCTCTCCACACGAGTCACACCGAATACACGTGTGGGCCAACACACTGGATTTCACACGTCACTACAGCAGATTTGAGGTTCTTGAAATATTAAAGTTGTGATGAGTTTTTAAATGTAACTGCACGTTTAGGACAAACTGTCAGACAAGCTGGAGATGTGATGATGCACTGAGCTCCTCCATCCTGCTCATCCTGGACGTAGCTTCCTGTGACACTGATCGCTGGCTTGTGGATTATTGTTTGGCAGGATGGAATTTGTCATTTTGGTTGACACCATTTCGTTTTCTTTCTCCTGGATGTGTGTTTTATAGTTTGAATAAAACCAAACCTCTGCCACCTTAGAATGAAAACAGTTTAAAAAATGATGTCAAAGGGAAAAAACAGCAGAGAAAGATGAATAAATGAAGCAGTAAACTGCCACGAGACATTTTGAGAATGTTGTTGGTTAACCCAACAGTACAAAGTGTAACTGTAACATCAGTAAAAGTGCAAAATTATATTTAAGAGCTACAAAATGTTAATCTGAAAATTTTGTAACATGTTAACAAAAATGTCATCATAGCACCTTGAGGAGGATTTTTAGCCAACATGGTTCGCAGGAATCAGAAGTGGTGACACTGTTGAGCCCCCATACAGGGACCACCGCACTACAGCAAACACCCTGACCTGCATCAGCAGCCTCTCTCTCTCTCTCTCTCAGTGAGGCTTCTCCTCCCTGCTCTGTGGTCGGACTCTGATGAGTGTTTGCTCTGTTACTAATAGATTGTTTTTGCCGGGTCAATAACAGTTATCAGAACGAGATGAAGTTCCTCTGCAGTGGATCAATCGCGCCTCTCGTGCTTCTCCTCGTCCTGCCAGGTAAAAACCATTTTCAGCTTCACTTCAGGTAGTTTTAAAGTGCAGACCCATGAACGCGGTGAGTGTTTTTCTCATGACTGTTACTGATGTTGATATTTCAGGGTTTTACTGAAATATGTTTTCTTAAAGTGGGGGAAGTGTGAGCTTTTTACACATTGTTCAGTGTTTTGTGTGGACGGTGATAACTGAGGATTAATATTATTGATCTCTGTGCTGCTGCTCTGAACACGCTCCATTCTCCTCCATTACAAATCGCTCCAACTGATATTTTATTAGCGGTGAATCTGTAGATTTCTATCTATGATTAGTT